GTTTCACGTCGAAGTTCTGGTCGACGCTTTTCTCTCTTTGCGACGTCGACCTCGCAATGTCAACCTTCGACCACCCTGAGCCGGACGGTCAGACTGAACGCGGTTGGCGCGTTCTCGAAGACATCCTTCGGACGTACTCTGTCGCATCGTCCACGACGTGAAGCACCCTGCTTCCCCACGCCGTGTTTGCCTACAACGCCTCAGTTCAGGCGTCCACGGGCTTCTCGCCTCATTACGCAGTTCACTTGCAGCACCCTCGGCTGCCTCAACTCCTTGGTGGCTCTCCTCTAAGTGTGGGAGGAAACACTGTTACTAGCGTCAAGCACTCCGTCGACGCTGCCGTTGTCCGCGACCATCTCCCAGTGCGAACGACGAAAGACATCAAGTCTTTTTTGGTCCATCGCACCTCGGTGTTGCGACAAATTCAAGACAACTTGGCTGCCGCCCAGTCCAAGCAAGCGGCCCAAGCAAATGCACGCGGTCGCTCCAACCTATCGACTTTCGAAATCGGCGACCAAGTCCTGTTTCACAAGTCCGCCGTGCCCTCCCATGCGTTCCGCGAACGCAATGGCAATCTAAGCGCCAACCCGAAGTTGCGTGGCGCTTGGGTCGGACCCTTTGCCATCGAACAAGTCGTGAGTCCGACGAACTATTCACTCAACCTACCTGACGACTGGCACGTACACAAGACTTTTTACGTGGGAAAACTGAAGAGGTATTTATTACCTAACACCTCTCCTACCAACGACGATGCAACGATGGAAGCCGCTCGCTCGCGTCCCGTGGCTCCTTATGTTCACCGTCCTCCTCTTGGACGACGAAGTTCGGCAACGGCACTGGAGCGGGATAATACACCGCAAGGGATCCCCCTGCGCTTCAATGTACCGCACCGCCTTCCGACACGCCGGCGCGGCCGCCCACGCAGTCGACCGACTGCCTTCCCTCTCGCGGTCTTCCAACTGCCGCGCAGGAGCCCGACCGACTCGTCGACGTTCGGTGGACGCAATCAGGTCGTCGATTTGCCCTGCGCGACGGCGCAACTACAAGATGGATATCAGACGACGAGGCAAAAGCGATCTTACCTCATGATCGCGCCGCCATGCTACGCGCGTCGCGATCCGTGCGACGACGGCGCCTTGAAGACGATGGTACTTCGCGTGCCGGTTCATCGCGAAGTTAGTCAGCGCATTGGCCAACTCCGTTGTCGACATCGGCCACTTCCCGTGCCGACCACCCCGTCCTAGCCCCACCAACGAGTAGACGAAAATGCTGATGTACTCCAGCATCGTCTCGTCTCCTCGTCGCGCAATCAACCCCACGTCCACGACCCATTCAGGACACTGGGCCTTCATACGCTCCTTGAAGGCCGTGAACTCCAATGGGTGCGCCTCCGCCACCCAAAGTTGCTCGTGGGCGCACACCATCCAAAGGATGTGCCATTCCAAGTCTTCATGGCCGCCGCTTCGAAACTTCTTCATGAACGCTTCCACGCTGCTGGCGTTCAACGGGACGTAATCCGACATCTCGCGCAGCCGTGCCATGCGCTCCGTCACTCGCGCCGCGTCATCGCGAGTCACCCCAGCAAACGTCTGCGTGGACGACAATCACAAGTCTGACCGCTCTGTCCAGATCAAATCACGTTCGGCGACCGGATGGCTCCCAAAGACTTGCATCGGCGTCATGGAAGCACCCCCTTCGACAACCGCAGGCACCACGTCCTGAAGAGCTGCGGCCATCTCTGCCAGTTGAGCGACCTTGTTCGTTCAGCGTATTCTGCGGTCTAAAGTGTGGGAGGGTGTAACCGTGTACACTATCCGGACACATCCGCTTTTCTCGACACCGACTTTCGCCAGCACTCTTTGGCAACCTTGCCCTCACCCTGTAATGGCCGCCCCTGACCAATGCATCGATCCCAAGATTACTGCGTGTTTCCAAACCAAGAAGATTGGTTAGCGTGTCTTAGCAGTAGCGTTAAATAGGAGTAACGTTACCAATTCATTCTCCATTCTACCAAACAAAGCGCATCTTCCTCTGAGCTCGCTTACAACGGTGCCGTCATCGTGTCCAAGGTGTACCCTCGCAAGCAGAAATTGCAGCCGACGATGGCGTCGCCCACCGTCGGCTCGGTTCAAGTTGCAGGTCCCGTTGGATTCGCTTGTAGAGCAGCTTGTTTTCGACCGTGGCCCAGCCCACGTTCGAGCTGTTGAAGGTCCGTCAGAATGCATGAGCAATGCGCGCCTCCGACATCCTTTCGACCGACATGACGTCATCGCGGCGGGGGTCACCCGTTTCGTTTCATTGGAATTGATCGTGCCCCGGGTGCAACTGGTCATCGACGTGTAAAAATGGATTGGAACACAGTGTGTGTTTGGCGGATGGATGGACAGCATTAGGACAAGCGAGCAGTCAAGACTTCATGGTCGCCTACAGCGATAGCATAGTTGTCGAAACCAGATGCAATGCTACGCTACATGGAGTTTTTTTCCACAACGAGCTGTACCTTGCATGACGCGGACCTCGAGACTGTGGCAGCAACGCGGCGCAGTGGTCGGAAAGGATGCCGCCACCGCCAGTAGAAAGGTTTTGCAACTCATCCTTACCACCATCTTCAAGCATGTATGCCAAAACCGGAAGTCAACCTGTAAGAACAAGTTAAAGATTCTGTAGAGTCCGATAACTTTTCACTGGATTTGCCACATTGTACGGACTGGTGTCATTATCCTCACACTGTGTTGGCACCAACAACACACTTTGTGAGTGACCTGATGGCTTCGACCCACAAACGCCGCAACTTCTCCGAGGATGACGACATAATGCTACTTCGTCAGGATTCCCTTGAAATGCCATTCCAGGCGCGACGTGGTCTCGTGATGGACCGTTGGAATGCCGTTGCAAGCGCCCTGCGTGAGTCTTCCGAGTTCAGCCGACCCAAAATCGACGCAAAACGCGCGTGCAATCGCATTATGCTGCTAATCGATGCGCATCGCAATTACGACAAAGCTTCGGCTCAGGCCTCTGGCGTGGATGAAGACGTCAACGAAAAGATCTTGCTCTTGGACGACTTGTTGGCCGCGTATGACGATGCAAAAAATGCCGACCAGCGGCGTGCTGATGAAAGTCGTGAGCTTGCAAATCATTCAGAAGCCATGGGAAGTCTGATTCGTGCTGAAGCGATGGAATCAATGGGCAAGCGGAAGAGGAAGAATGATGAAGATGAAGGGGTACCCTCCGGCGGTAAACTTATGCGTGTCATTACTGTGATGCAAGAACAGGCCAAGGTGGAATTGGATTTTCAAAGGGAACGAATGCAAAAAGAAATGGAAGAAAGACGCATCGAGCTCGAAGAAAGACAAATGGAGCCGCAGTTGATGGCAGAGCAACTTCGCCAGCAGCAGGATTCGTTAGCTTTGTTGATGAGAATGATGATTGAAAGGAACTAAAAGCTCATAACAAAGTTCATTATACGTCAATTATTTGTAGAATGTCAAGATATTCTCTTAGTGTTGGCGGTTGCAAGTTGAAGAACTTACTGATTTGGTTACCGCCAAAATGGCAGCAATGACAATTTGTAAGAAGCATACCCACAGCGACCACTTTTCAACCGGGGACAAGCGAATCATTCCCAATGTTTTGAAAGTCATAAAAGACCATAAAGATTTGAAAATCTTGAAGTTCCATTCCACTGACTGCCTCACTTACTCATCCATTTGTTGAACTCCATTTTTCAGCACTCAAATTGTTTCCCTTAAAACCAGAAATCAAATGCGGAGCAATACTATACGCAGGATCTCCATACAAAACTTTGTCAATAAAAAACACTTGGATGCAGACTCATGAATTCAAGCAAGCCACTCAAGCGCAAAAGAGTCGTATCATACAACGCCCTTCCACATGCCCATAAGAATGCACACAAATTCCGCCAGTGGCAGTAACCGCTTGATTGTTGAGACAATAAATTCGCTTGTGGCCGCTGTAGATTTGCTTCTGCAAGTTTTCGCCATCGCCAGTGGACGAAATTCGACAGGTTTGCACTTTTGTTCCGTCGATGAACCCAAACACGTTTGTCAGTGGCGACCCCTTGCAGCAACGGCGGCGCAATATCGGTCCATGTTCTTTGCCACAAGCTTCTTGTTGAAATAGAGGAGGGTGCCCCAGCGAGAGTATAGCTCTTGGATGACGCAGAGAAAGTTGTCGCATAGTGCAGATCTTGATCGACCAAAAATGGTTGACGTGGTGTGGAATCGAACGGGAAAGGCCATACCACCCTGGACGATGCACAAAGCTTCTTCACGATGCACACGGTTGCAACATTCGGTCACAATGATGGCAGGTAGGCCCAGAATGTAGATGAGCTCTTTGATTCCAGTAATATCAAACCGAAACTCAAGGATCGCGTTGGCGTCGCTTGTTGCATCAATATTAAACCGGACAGCTGGAATAGTGGGCGTTCAACAATACACATCGCAACCAATGCCATTAGTGCTTTACGCTGACGTGGAGTCCGAGCCAGTGGTAACAACGAAATGAGCTCGTCTTGGGTCAATGTCATTGGGGTCTTCGTGTGGCGCCAAGGTTGACGAAAGCACAATGAGCTCATCCGCATGAATTTTATCCGGAAATATGTAAAGATGTGGATGGTGGTGAAGTGCAAATCTCAAAACTTGAAGTTCCTATCATTACCCTGAGCGCTGAATTTGTCATCTATGTGGTGACAATGATAATGTAAGGATGACTTGCAAAACCTTTCTAGTCTTGTGTCGACTCTTTATTCAGAGCACCCACCACGATCAAACTTCCACTCGTACGGCCACATTGGCAGTGTACCGTAATGCCCTTCGATGCACCAGCTGTACTGCGGCAATGTCCTGTCCACGTATTCGTATGTCGCCGCCAGCTTATGCAGGGGCGAGGGCCATGGCTCACCACGGAAGCCGGGGATCACAATCACGACCCTTTCACAACCGATGATACTTGTGCTGAGCTACCCCCTCCCCTTGCAGCCAACCCGAGCGCATTGTCTATGGCGTCGTGATGACTCGGTAAAAGTTTGGACCACCATAGAGAGATACACGAAAGAGGATGAGCGCACCACCACTCAATGTGACGTGAGCGAGGTTGGGTAGGTTTTGTTGTGAAGTCGAAGGTTTTTCGCACGTGACCACCGACCAGGCCCATGACTATGTAGCCAACTACTGCTTCACATCTCATAGACATTCACGGAACCGCGCAACCGGACAAACGCTGTGATGGTTGCAGATGTATCTCACTGGCATGGCCCAGTAGTCTGTCGTTGGGTTTCATCGCATATGACCCTCCAGTTCGGTCGAGACACTCGTTCGACGCCACATTCTCAATAACATAGCGAACCATTGATCGGTCACTTCGGTGACGAACTCTGACGGTGTATAACTTCATGGAATATTCTCGGTTGGTGCTGATGATATATACATAATCGTGACGGCCAAATCAAGGTTGTTAGCGTGATATGCGAATAAATCAGTTTAGACAGTACTTCGTGCTTGAGAGAACATTTGAATTCGTGACAAAAACAAAGCGAACCAATTATCGGCCACATGTTAACTTGGCTATTGTATACCAAAATTGGTGATTTTGAATCGGCACCTTCATCAGAACTATCAAATATTAGAGAATTATGAATTGTGGAGAGGTAATACTTTTGGGAGTAGTGGTTATGAAAATTCCAGAAACACGGAACGAGGCACCAATGAGACAGGGCGTTTAGTGGTGCCACCAGGTTTCGTGAAATTTATTCCTCATTTTTGATTTTGCCACCAACTAGACCAGTGTTCGCCTTAAACTCTCCGAAAGGAGGGGGGCAGTCCCAAGCCAAACAATCCACCATCCCAAGCACTGGCTTTCCACCGGGGCGGCCTAGGTCTACACCACTTCACGGTCAAGTTGAAATGTTTTTCCAATCAATGTGAAACGTCCTGATAGGTATAAACTTTCTCAAGTGAAGTGATGTGCAAAATTTCGGCCCAACATGAAGAATACTCCAATCAATGTGAAATACGAAAGCGGGAAATGTAGGCGCGTAAGCAATGTGGCTAATGAAGATTTTGGTTCACTTCACATTTTATCTTGCCGCAATTCCCACTCCGCCAAAGCGCAAAGGCCCGACGACCGAGGTAAAGCAACGTGTGCTTGACTCGTATCAACG